GTTTAGCAGATTTGGAAGGCAGATTTGGAATCAGCGTCTGGAGACGCATCAGGTGGTATACATTTCATTTCGAACGGCCACTTCGACCTACCATCCTTCCCTTGTTAGTTAATGGCTACTCATTCATAGACATCAAGAGTAATTGTGAAGTGATGATAGTTGAACTAGCCCTCCGAACTTCCTCTGGCCGTTTCGAATATTATTTCTTTGAGTAAATTTGTTAGTTCTAGTGGAGACATAATTTTTTGAACTTCAAAAATTCACAGTAGGTAGCATTTCAAAGCTCAGAAAGGTTCTAATAAATTTATGTCAGCTCAAATACGGTGTTCGTATCCCATAATTCATATTTTCTAATAGTAGATTGCTATGAGGAAACGAAACTTTGGAAGGAAAATTGGCCAATTACAAATTACTGAAATTATACCCCTGCAAGGATCACCGTAAAGGTGACAATTTGTTGCAACCAGGATTCAAAGAAATATTTATTGTTGAAAAGAATTCATGGTACAGAACTGGTTACGCTATTCACATTTCAAATGCCCAGTCCAAGTTAATCGGTTTAATCGGCGGAAAACTGCTAAGTCCTCTGGTAACCAATTCTCGGTAGTATTCATGGAATTTCAATTGTTTGCCCAGGTTGAGTGCAGGGGGGGGGGGGGTGAGTGGTAGAAATGATAAAAGCGGCACCACCTTATGTATGGCGCGACAGATGTACTCGTAGACTCAGCTACCATTAAGTACTGTGGGCATCCAGATGGCACATATTGCTTCGGAGGTTCTAAAATACTTGAACCTTGGAGCGCACACGATCGTTGAATGGAAGCTAAACTCTCACGTCGTTCCACGTGTTGGCATCGAGGACCTTATGATGGGTGTTGTATACATTCAAAAGGTTCCAGAAAATGATCTATTAGGGTGTACATCCAAAAAAAAGTATTGCGTAGATAGTGTTTAATTCACTACGGTACGACAATAAAGTAACGGAAACCTGGCAGTAGACTCTGAATGAGACAAAGAGCTTTCATTCGATTGACTAGATCTTTCAAAAGACCCAAAAAGATCGAGTTTCAGGTCACCTAAATTGAGACATCACTCATTCCCATTCCGAAAGCATAAGTCGAAACCTCAGCCTAGACCCAAACTTAACCTTAGGCTCAATTATCGCGCTGGTGACTGACCTAGGAGGAGAACTGAACGTCTCCCTATCTTTCGAGGTGGATTTTTTGAAGAGACTTTCTCCGGCAGATTTTCCCTTTGACAAATGCATATAACGATGTGACTTGGTGGTTGATTACACACAAAAGAATTGGGCGCGCTGAATAGGAACAAAAGCACTGTCCACATCTGGTTCCCTGTTGAATGTATACAACTTATGTATACACACAACGATGTTCTACCTTTCCAGTAGGGAAATGACATACACTCATTACGACATTTTGTAGCTTTTTCTTGGACTTATACGGTTTCGATGTTATTATTCTTACTAGGGTAACAATAATGAAGCATGTAGCGCTGATCAAACCTACGCACTCTATTGAGAATCGCAATTGCACTTTAAAGCAATTCGGCAAGTACAATGAATTGCGTGGGCTAGTCGATGTTGAGGGTTTATCCTCCCAGACCACTAAATGACGCAGATTATGGAAGGTATGGTCGAATCGGCACTGGATTCGGCCAATGGTCAACCGTCGCATTGCGCTAATTTCAAAATCTTCAAGACTCAATTCTTGAAGGGGATGTCGCATACAACCCCATCCCTCCCCCTCCCCTCACCACCAACGGCCGATGGAATAAACACCGTCACTCGACCTGCCTTCACTTGACACACTTAAACTCCCACCCAAAACGTCCTCGAAAATAGGCGTAGGCGATGAAGGGCTGGGTATCCACAGTTTATTATACAGCGAATTCTATACGTTCCTCCCATTCTCTTTCATCGCCACGATCAGTTTGAACACCTCAAAATGAAGCCCTCCGTTGAAGAAATCCGACGGCTGTTGATCATGGCTCGATCTGTGCGCTCGATCAGCGGCACCACTTGTCGCTACATGACTTTTGCCAACATTATTGAGATAATAATGACAAAATACAAAATTATTGAAATAATAATGAAGTAACGTGACAGAATAGACACTTAGGTTTGTTATCACTTGAAGAAATTTTCTATCCACGTTAAGAACTCGTTTGGCTCCTAATTAGTCCCCGTCCAGCTCTATATTATGCTTTTTGTGGAGCGAATGTGTTGCAGTTATTTCAATGTTTCCATCTGGGGAAGTTAAAAAGTAAAAAAGTAGAGGTTACCTCTATGCAACGGCTGTTGGTACTGCCGTTCAAATGGCGGTTTTGGACATGCCTACCCAATGTTGGAGAAAACTCGCTGATGGAGAGCGACAGAGATTGGATGAGTGGTGATGTGGTTGGGGGCGGGGGGCCCCAAACCCTTTCCCATTTATATACGCAATCGCCAGTCGTAATACGAATCAAACGGGCTGGCTGCGGTAAGGGCACGCAATGTCTACATCACACTATAACACGTTCGGCGACCGTTTGGCTATGATGTCATACCCGCCTCTTCACCTGGAGCAGACTGATCTTTTATCTCAAACTCAGTTAGCAATTTTCCCTCTCCCACAGCGGTCTATCTATGTACATTACTGGACCCGAAAAACAATTTTTTTTCACTACTGATAATGAAAACACTGAAAGATTAATGTCCTATCGATGAGGGAATACGAAAAATGTTGAAGCAGTACGTGCACAACGGCGGTCGTCAACCCATTAAAAGTACTGGCTCTAATCTCGCTCGCTCTCGCGACAACGCCCATGGATTGGCGCCCGCAGACTCTCCCGCTACAAAACTCGCGATATCTGCGAAGGCATCTAGTCTTCCACCGCCTTCCCTCAGCAGCTCGACCCCCCCCCCGCACACGCACCACGCGCTCCCCTCGCGCTCTCAACACCCGCTCGCACCCCCTCACGCCAACCCCCCCCGCGCGCAGCCTCGTTTCTCGCTCCCACCACGCGCGCGACACATGCCCCCCAGCTGCTGACGTACGAGGTCACTAGGCCAACGGGTCTTATAATGAAAGATCATCGAATGAGCTACAGTCCTTGCGACTCGCATCAAATATGCGTTGCTCTATTTCAACACCAGCTTCATTCCTCGGCTTACGAATGCACCTGACCCCTCGAAACTACATTTTGAACGCAGTGACGCAGTAATTCCCACTCGTGCATGAACGTTTCACCCATCGACTCGGCCGATACCTTTCTCTACACTTCTCCTTCGACATCATAACATGAGGAGGAAATCCAGAACTTCACAACTACCGATACCTCCTTCTTGACTCTCTCACTCTTACCTCTGCTCTACTTCTCGCATCTCTTTTCATCTTTCCTGCTAGCCTCCTCACTCAATACGCCATACTTGCAAACGCGAACACTCTTAGAACGTCGAAGCCCTGCGCACCGCCGCGCCCCCGTCCCTGTGCCCACCGAAATAAATCCCCAGCTCAATCACACTCTCTCACGCCCTCCTCACTCGCCTTCTACCCATCCTCTCCTCTACAACCTTGAACAACCGGCTTCTACCCACGCAGAACCCTCTATCTTCAACATCCTCTCCATCAGCCCTCCCCGCTCTCAGCCGCGCACTCGCTTCCCTCGCACCTCCACACCGCTCTCCCCGTCCAACCTCCGCCCTCCCGCACCCGCCTCACCCGCTGCCCCGCCGCCGCTCTGCGCCATTCTTCTCCGCTCCCCAGTCGCCCTCCGCATCGCCCAGCTCCGCTCCTCTATCCGCACCCCACGACTCTCACGCCCACCACACTCACACACCCTAGCAACAGGAGCTGCCACGCTCCCCCGAGCGCCCGCCACCTCCCGCAGCCCCGCACCCGCTCGCCCCTCCTCTCCCCTAAGCCGCATGCATGCGCTCCCCGCCCTTAAACACACCTCGCACGCCACAACTCCCCCCAGCGCTACTTTCCCTAGCTTTTTACGTCCTCTTCTCGACACCACTCTCCTCTCTCATACCTCCCCCACAATCTTCCATGAATTCAACACACGACCCGCTCACTTGACGCGCTGCCCCCCCCCTCGCTCCCGCGCGCCCGCGTGGCAAGTGCGAGAGAAACCACATCCCCCCGCGGCCCCCGCCCCGCCCGCCCCCGCCGCCGGCCGCGCGCCCCGCGTTCCATCGCGGCCGGTCCCCCCCGTATGCTACTCGAAGATCCGTCTCCATTCGCCACCCTTCGAGTTCTGGGGGCCCCCACGCTAGACGCTATATCACTCCTATAAAAAATAGCGATTTTTCCACAGCAGCTCGCGATCAAAAGTGCAACATTTGAGTTGGGAGGGGGAGGATTACTCACACCTTGCGCACGCAGGCAAGCCCCGGGATTAGGTTGTATAGCAGGGAGCTGCTGCGAGTGAAAGTGTTAGGTACGTTAGGTACATATGTAAACAGCTCGTACCACCTTCGCCGCTCAAAATGGCGGAGATGGCGCTATTCGTTACGTACTCTTGCAACTATCGACCGTGCAACCCTCCTTGCCCACCGCGGTTATTGTAAGCATCGACGATGATGGCCGCTGCTGAAAGCAACGTGAATTACGACGAGGCGGCCAATACCACTACAAGATAAGTCATAAGACAGAAAAATGCAATTGATACGGCTATGTCAAGAAAATTCGTCCGAACACGCCCTTTCTCCATCCATAATGGAGTGCTGCTGAAAGAGGTGGCTTTGTTTGGACATGATCGGCGGTTTCTCCTGTCTTGTCTTTCTTTTCAGATCACTCCTAACCAAAACTTCATTATTGGACGCTCTTACACAACCATTTTATCCCGGGGCTTGCCTTTAATTGGAATCCAAGCCAGATCATCCTTACCTGTTCTCGCTCGGCCATTGTTGTCACGAACAACAAAGAATTCGATTTCGCCATCGCTACCTATTCCTTACTCCTGAATGCAGCATTAAGACTCCTCAGCAATTTTGAATGAGTGTTGAGTGCACGGCGCACTTCAAATCGAGGCTAGAACTGGGTCAAAAAGGTATTTTTGATGGACACTTTTGCTCTGTTGGGAAACAGAAAGTTGACCTGAAGCGGTAGAGAGTCCGGTCGAGCAATAGACCATGGAGCGAAGATTCAAAATATAAATTTCAGCTTCTTCACGACCGACCTCATCGCTTAGTGACACGAGTGGCGTCAGCACAATGAGCGTAACTTCAGGACAAAAGACGGTTTGTTTCTAGACAAAGCCTTTATTCCTCAAATAAATAATACACTACCTTCCAGAAAAGCGAAACGGAAAGCGCTAGCACTGATGGACCGTTGTCAACCGATTCACCGGTGAAGGAGCGGAGAACAGATGATGAATTAATAGTGACGCCGAGGTATCTGTAGAGAAGAATTCTTATTCCTGTGCACATACATGTATGCTATAAAGATGCCATCTTCACCTGTTTACCTCAACAACCTCAGCACTCGCAGTACCACAGCGTACAGTAGCGGTCAAAAGTGTTCGCCGAAACGCTTTTTCGTGCATTTCATTTCTTCCCTCCAGAGAAAGATCTGAAGATTAGTTTGAAGCCTTTCTTTCAAATATCTAAACTCTTCAATAGTCAAGGTTTCAAAGGCTTTGAAAGGCATGTCTTATTAATACTTGAAGGGCACTGTTTGAGTGAGAAAAATGGTGCACGAAAAAACGTTTCGGCGAACACTTTTGACCGCTACTGTATTCCTTCATTTTCAAGTGTTTCTGTTGTCCGATCGGCATCATCGAATGCTTCAAAATTGACGTCAAATGGGAGAGTGCGATCCGCGAACGTTTGTGCTTTGTGAATGCATGTGATAGACGAGCCGAAATGAATTTTTATTGATTTTCAAGTGAAACATTGCAAACAGTTCCCGATCGGCAGAGGAGTCCGGCAGCATATTACCCTGAAAGTACATACATACTGCGTTGGCAGTTTTCAAAAAAAGTCCAATTTTCCTATTTTTCATCCTCAAGCGCAATGTTGACATCCTACTTATTAATTCTTTATCAACCTGGTTTCGGCATGAGTCAAATGCTGTTTTCTCATCTGTCGTGGTGTAGGCCTAATCCCCTTTAGGGTGAGGCAAGAATGCTGCTGTCCAGATCAATCTATGCCGGGTAAATTTGGAATCTCCTATTAGGTTGGGCAAAAATTATCCGCAGATTTGCTTCTACTCATAAGTTTATCAACAAAACCAAAACAACAATTAATGCACAATAAACAAACGCTCTCTGCAACCATGCCTTTATCCCAGGCTTCATTGATTCTACGAGCAGACGCAGAAACCTTCCGGTTTCGAGCTCAGCTTGCACTCAAGTAGCAGGGGCAACCTTTTTTGCTAAGGTGTAAGCTCCATAGTAGAAGAAAATATACAAGTGTTACATCAAAACGTACAAGAGACTGTGCGCTTTCAGCCTGCCTCAACATCCTTCGAAACACTCGGGCAAAATGTCAAGAGCCATGAGCCTAAAAAATGGTAGAGTATGTTTGCTTCAAACCTAATATATGAGGCTCGAGTTGATGGCTCGTTGATACCCCTATAAAACTCACTTTATTCAAAATTTTTTGATTCACTGACCATACAAAGGGGCAGGGCAAAAAGGAAGAAACTTTGCCCGTGTCGCACTCAGCGATTTTTTTTCGTTAGATAGGTTGCCGCCGTTGACGGGTATCCTACAGCATAATATTATAATGAATTTCTCGATGAGTAGAAACAAGCTCACCTCCACTGTCCTCAATGTCTTCAGAAAATGACGCCATCTACCGTCACCGTTGAGCTCAAGAAGACCTACCGTGGTTGCTCCAGCGCGGTGATAACTTCTTCAATCATTTCGCTGGTGATAGCTTCGTGAGACTGTAGCTACTAATTGTGGCCAATCTCTTGAATTCCAATCCAAATGTAGAGGCAGTGTCTTTTTCATTGCACTTGTAGGTGTGCAATAACTTAGTGTGCGTGTATGGTGGATATCAAGTTCGAAAACGGGCATAACTTGCGCAAGTAAATGGTGACTTGCGGTAAGAACTCTTCTTCTTCTTCTCCCTAGCGTTAGTCCCGCGCAGTCGCAGGGTCCGCTGTTTTTGTCAGCCGTCGCCACTTTGCTCTGTCCAGGGCATCTTCCATCGTGGCCGCGACCTCACCTAGGTCCTTCTTGATACGTCTTTCCACCTTCCGCGGTCGCTTGCCTTGTACTTCGAAGTCCATCGCTGTTCTTATCGGATGGTCCTGTGGCCTCCTTAGCACATGCCCATACCATCGCAGACGCTGTTCCCGTACCTTCAGCTGGACAGGGGCAGTCTGCATGACCGCTCTGACATCCTCGTTTCTAACCTGTCCAGCCGCGTCCAGCCGCAGGCCCATCTCAGCATCCTCATTTCGGCAGAGTGAAGCTGCCTTTCGTGATTCTTGTTCAAGGCCAGCACTCGCTGCCGTAGAGCATCGCAGGCCTTACCACTGTCCGGTACACCTTTCCCTTTGAGCGCTCTGGAGCACCTTCGATCGCAGAGGATTCCAGTGGACTCCCTCCATTTCATCCATGCAGCGTTGACCCGAGCCTTCACCGCCTGATCCACACTACCGTCGGCTGCCAGATCGCTCCCAAGGTATCGGAAGTCCTCCACTCTTTCGATGGTCTCACCATGGCCGTCCACGATCGGCTCTGCACCCTCTTCGGAGCTCAGGAACTTGGTCTTCTTGACATTCAGCCGTAGCCCACCTTCTGCCAGGACTTTCTGCCATTTCTGCACCTTGGCTTGAAGTTCCTCTCTACTATCAGCTATCAAGGCGACGTCGTCAGCATAGAGGATAGTCTTCAGTGGTCCCTACATGAGTCCCGCATGACTCCATGATCCCTCGACCAGGCCATCTAGTGTTAGGAGGAAGAGGAACGGGCTCAGAGCTGACCCTTGGTGCACCCCGACCGTGATGTCCACCTCCTTCGTTAGGCCGTATGGGGTGCGTATAGCTGCCTTGGCTCCTTCGTACATATCCCTCACCAGAGAGATGAGGTGTTCTGGCACGTTTCGTTCCCTAAGCGACCTCCATAGCACTGCTCGCGGTAGCCGGTCGAACGCCTTCTCCAGGTCGAGGAAGGCTAGGTAGCAAGGCCTGCACTTTTCGCGATACTTCTCCATCACTTGCCTAGCGATGAAGATGGCATCCGTTGTAGACCTTTCGGGCATGAACCCGAACTTCCTGGGAGATCTGGACAAGGTCCCGCAGTTTCGAGTCGACCAGGCGCTCGTACAACTTCATGGTATGCGCAGTCAACTTGATGCCGCGGTAGTTGGAGCAGTCCATCGCGTCACCCTTCTGCTTGAAGATGGGGACGATAGTGCTTGTTCTCCAGGCATCCGGCATCCTTCCTTCGGCAGTCACCGTATTCAGGAAGCGGGTGAGCCACCTCACCCCGTGCTCTCCCAGGGCCTTCCAAGCCTCTATGGGTACTCCATCCGGACCAACTGCCTTTCCAACCTTCATCTTCCCAAGTGCACGCCGAACCTCATCCTCTGTCCAGAGTGCGATGGGACCAGCTGTGGCCTCTGCCCGTGAGTTGTTCTCGTGGGAGAACTCCTCGTTCAGAAGACCTCTGAAGTACTCTTCCCACCTCCTCCGAACTTCGGCTGGCTTCCTCAGTATGGCGCCGTTGTTGGGGGTCACTCATAATATCTAATCGAACTAATATAATCACAATATCTAATCAAAGTGGAGCTGCTGAAGGGCGGTCATATCTAATCAACAACCAGACTCAGTCTCTGAGGGTATGATTAGATAGGGATACCAAGCAAAGATTCCATAGAAAATCGGATACCTGAAATGTCCTTTCTTCGAGGGCTCACATGGCAGTCGCAGGAAGGTTTGGGAAAGTGAAGAGTCAGCAAGGTAGCAGCCATTTTAGCCATAGAATAATATGACAAGGGTAAACCTACTAGTCGTAGGCCGCGGTCTCAGTGAAAGATATGATAAGATATGAGTGCCTTCCCGCAGCTCTACTTTGATTAGATATGAGTGTCTTTCCGCAACTCCACCTCGATTAGATAGGGTGGCCCCCGACTACATTTTTCATGGCGCCGTTGTTGCTCTTCACGCTCTTCACCACCCTGATATCTTGAGTAGCCCGATGCCGGGCTTTGGCCAGTCTGAAGACGAACTTCTCTGCGTTTCTGCTTTCCAACTTCTCGTACAAGGCGTCCATCTCCGTGTTCTTCGCCTTGGCTACGGCGGCCTTAGCGAGCCTCTTGCAACTGTAGGTAGCGAGGTCTTCGGGGCTCCGGGTCTTCTGCCAGCGCTTGTATGCTTCCTTCTTCTGCTTCACGACTCGCTGGACCTCCTCGTTCCAGAACCACGCTGCCTTGTCTCCTCTGAATCCACCTCGCGTCTCTCCCAGTACCTCCTTGGCGCATCGTAGGATGATCTCAGCTGCAGTGCCCCAGCCTGCTGCACTGGTCCCTCAGGATCTGGGAGACCAACTTCCATTATCCTTCGCTTGAGGTCACTCTTCTCTGCACGGTGCAACTTCCACCACCGGATTCTCCTCTCGGTTCTTCTTGTCTTCTTGGGGAGCTCCATGGCTATGTCTGCCAGGAGTGGCTTGTGCTGGGAAGCCAGCTCCTCGCCAGGGAGTACCTTGACGTCCTTCACAGTTCTGAGGGATGATCTTTTTACCAGCACATGGTCGATTTCCGTTTGTCGTCCTCCACTGCTGTAGGTGACCTTATGAGTCTCCCTTTTCGCGAAGAACGTGCTGCAGATTGCCAGATCGTGGGCCGTAGCCAGGTCCAGGACCCTCTCTCCCTCGGCGTTCCTCACTCCTATCCGGTGAGAACTGCGCTGTAGTTAGTGATAATGTATGTTGTGTAAAATGATTTTCAAAAAAATTGGGGAAAGTATGACATACATCGAATTAGCAGTCGCAAGCTAACACAACTGAGGTAGCGTCTCCGTTTGAGCCCTTCCCCATGTACGCTTCGTCAATGCAGTGTGACGTCTGTGATCTCTCTCCATGTCCGGTCTATGCCGTCACGTCCATATGTTGACATGGCGCTACAGTTGTTGTACCAGAATTGTACGCTGTCCGAAGGTAACAGCGGGAAAGGAGAGCTTTCCGTACACCCGAACAGTTTACTATTGTCATTCTACGGCCGACAACCGTGGGGCGTCGCGTACCGGTCTCCATTTGCGATTGTCTCCACGTTCCCTTGTGAGGGCCAAGACCACATTCCACTAAATCTACGAGCATGCCTAGAAGTCATATTTATGGCAACTTCCTCAGTATTCGTCAGGAGATGGTCACACAATTCATGTAACAGTTCACTTTCCTTTCGCAAAATATGCTGGAGAGTTCAGTAGAAGGAGCCTTCTTATTTAGT